TTGAAACAAGGGTCCTCTAGTGTGGAAGAATATAGGCAATCTATGGAGTTTCTAATGATGAGGGCTGGGACTAGGGAGGAAGAGAGGACCACAATCTCTAGATTTCAAAGTGGTCTTAATCTTGAGATAAGAGACAAAGTTGAACTTTTTCCTTATAGAAATTTGAATGAACTTGTTCAACTTTGCTCAAGGGTGGAGCATCAACTTAAGAGAAAATCTTTTCGAAAAGACTCCACTCCTTCTTATCCCAAAGAAGAAAAAGAAAAAGAAAAAGAAAAAGAGAAATCATCTTTCCCTTTTTGGTTAACTTGTGTGTTGAACCAAGAGTGAGTTGAGGTGGCTTATATAGAAATGAAATGGATGTGTTGTTGTTATGTGTTATATTTATTAGTTTAGAAACTCCTTAAATGAACTGCACTACGCTCTTGGAATGATGACATGGTGGTATAAGATGCAAGAGCTTTATTACAGGATCTTAGGCACATATTCTGCAATTAATGTTTCTAAACCATTATTCTAGCAAATAAGGGTCCTACTAAAGGTCAAATTTTATTACTAGTACCTTATAGTTACAAATAAAAATAATTAGTTAGTACTCTATTCAATCTTTTTAAATAAAATTTTTAATTATAAAATATATTAAGATTATGACTTAATAAATTAGACGTAAATGTGTGATTTACTTCCACTTATCTTAAAGTCTATCATTATTGTTTCATTCTCATATTTAAGAGAGAATGTAAATATATTGTGAATGTTAATATAAAGGATGTCTTACATAATAAAAGTAATATATCTAAAATGTTCAAAATGGGATGAGGATGTATACAATTGACCACACAAGCTTGTGTTGAGCTTACTTCCACCCCTCTAGGAGGCATATGAGGTGAAAGCTTCATGTAGAAGTTTGTGAACAAAAAAATGTGGTTAATGAAAAAAATTCTGCTAAAAATTGGTTAACCAAATTTTTCAACAAAAACTATTATTAAAAAAAGCCGTTGAACATTTTTTAGGTCACATATTCTGCTATTAATGCTTGTAAACCATGATTCTAGGATATACTGGTCCTACTATAATAGTCAAATTTGATTACAAGTACGTTGTTTACTGTATGATATATAACATACAATATACTTATTTGAATTAATTAACAGTCATAAAATGATAAGGTGTTCCACGCGTTGTATAAAGCGGCGCTGACAATAAGCATGATTAAAATGATTAATGAGGAATCTGTCTTATTTAAATAATGGGAAATACTCCCTGCGTGCACCACCACGGGGATTAAGGTGTGGTGGCATTGTTGCATTAGTAAAGCATTGAATTAATGTGCCCGTGCCATGTATTCATCGATTGTATGGTCCTGTTCTCATTGCTTTGCTTGTTTGTGAAGCAAAATTAGAATGATGAACTTTAATCCACGCATTAGTGACGTCATTATTTGTCAGCAATATATATAATACTATTATTGGGATTCACTGCTATAGTTGAAGCGTAGAAAATGAGACAACATATATAATACTGTTATTGGGTAGTAGTAGAATTGTGGAATGCAATTTATACATCTATTTTATTTTTTAAAAATACCAATTAGAGGGCAAAAATTTTAATGCACATGTATCACTATTTATTTATTTTAATTATAGTCACTAGTACATAAAGGGTCTTTTATATCGGGTATTTTGAGCCTTTTACGTCGAAAAAGGTTTTGACGTTAATATTCATTGCCCTTTGATAACTAGCACTTGCGTTTTTTAATCCAAATGGCATCATCACCCATTCGTACACGCCTAACGCACCTGGACATCAAAAAGCAGTTTTCGATACATCATTAGCTGCAATATAAATCTGGTTATATCCAAAATAACCATCAAGTAAACTCATAATTTCATTACCTGCAGCTGCGTCTATCATAGTCTCAGCAATGGGCATGGGATACTTATCTTTGAGAGTTGCCATGTTAAGATCCTGAAAGTCAATGCATACTCTGAGTTTCCCGTTTTTCTTCATAACCGACACTATATTCGAGATCCACTCGGGATATCTTGAAGTTCTGATGAACTTCGCTTTCAGTAATCTCTCAATTTCTCCCTTGATTTTTTCAACTATTTCAGGAGCAAATCTTCAAGGATTTTGCTTCACAGGTTTCTTTCCTGGGATCATGGGTAGCCTGTGCTCTACCAACTCTCGATCTAATCCTGGCATTTCATCATAATCCCATGCAAAGCAATCTTTGTATTCATGCAAAACTCGAATTATTTCCTCCTTTAACTCCCCTTGTAAGAACTTGCTGATATAAGTTACTTTCCTATTTTCGACAGTCCCTAGATTAATTTCTTCAAGTGGGTCTTGGGATTCCGTTCGACTAAGTAAAGGGGGGGCAGCTGTAGACCCCTAAAATTGTCCGGGTCGGAAATAAAGCTCAAAGACTCTCAAAGACCGAAGGAAAGTCAGCCGGAAGGACTCTTGGAAGACCCTAGGATGATTCTTTGTAGGTCTAGAAGTCTTAGAATAGCTTAGAATAAGGGTGTGCAAGGATTGGAGCTCAATACACCCTCC